TAGAGCTACCTTTGCTTTTTTCGCCTTTTTCCTTTTTGACCTGTGGATTCCTCTTAAGCTCAGTGTTTCCTAATCAGTATCTGCCAGGAATCTGTTCATCTGTATTCCACTTGCTATCTCCAGAAGACTAAAGAAAAACCTCTAATGGACTTAGGAGGAAAGAACTTGGCTAAGCCAAGTATCTCTTGTTAACACGACAAGTGGAACAAGTAATTAATTATTATTATTTTAGCTTCAAAGCAGTTATACTTGAGGGTCACAGGTAGGGAACTGAACCAAAAGTCAAGTATTTTCCTTTGAACGTTTCTGGAAGCTCAATGTTTAGGAAAATGCTGACAAGTAGGTGGTAAAACTGGACTTCAAAGAGTTCATTATTTTAAAATGATGATTATATATATAGTGCTTTTTTCTTTTAAAATGTTTAGGGGTCCTTTCATTTTGACCCAAGAAAATCACCATTTTATAGTTCGTCAGGAAAAATAAATACAGTAAATAGACAAAAGTACAAAGATTCACAAAATGTTTAGGGGTATGTGTGCCCCTGTGTACCCCCCCCCCCGAAAAAACAGTGTGTGTGTATATATATAAAGATTATTGCTGACCTATATGCATTTATAAATCTCAGTCCCTCACATCATCACAGCCTCATCTCCTCTCCTCTATTTGGACAAGTTCAGATATATCATTTGGTTAATACTTTTTAATTAAAAGGTAGCCCTTCAGAATTCTTTTAAAAAAAAACTTCTGAGAAGGAAGGAAGGAGGGAGAGCTGCTTGCAGCACCCCTGAACATCATTCAAGTCACCCCAAGTACCACGACACACTGGTTGAAAACCTAGGGTGCAGAGAGAGTTAGGAGTTAAACAACAGAGTTAGTAAGCTGCAGGCTGGAGAGAAAGGGGTCAGAGAGCAATGTTAGAGAGCAATGGTTGGGGTTGCTTAAATCCAAGGATGCTGGGGCTATGGAATAAGGCTCTTGGAGTATGAAATGTACCTGTTCATCATAGGCTCAAGTTGTATATTTGTGTAAATAAAGACACCACAGCCTCCCCTATGCCTCATTTCCTAAAAGGAAACACAGAACCTAGGTAGGCATCTGGTACCCCTGGAATCTCTCACTGCCGTGTAAAACTATTATGTATTCCTCCATGTGAAGAACAAAAGCTAATCATCTCACATAAAGTATAAATTCTGGAAAGGACAATCTGATAGCTCCTGTATAGTAATAAAAAAACCCCAAACCATCCTGTCAATCTTCCTGAGAACAGAACCATCTGAAAACAACACGTTCAGCTTGTTCAAACATAAAATGTTAACAAGTATGAATCCACACTTGAGGGATAGCAAAGAGCAATAATGAAAGTGAGATCTAATTGTGGCAGATCAATAAGGTTCCCCGAACAATTTACACTTTTCTTTTCTTGCTTTTTAATATCACTCTTAATTTATTTTCCTTCAGTGCTTTCTACAGCTCCTTTCTGAATAGGGAAGGAAAGATGCTGGTTCATTCTCACAGAGTAACAAAGGAGGATTAAAGATTAATTTTCACTTGTCAACTGTGTACAATCTAATTGGATTTAGAACTGAAGGGGCAGTTAAAATCCACATTAGCTAAGTGATTTCTTGAAATTCCATAGCCAGTACAGTCATGAAAGACTGGATTTAGGTATAAAGTGCATTAGACTTCAAATGTTATCTTTGGAAATCGTTAAGCCTCCATTTGTATAATTACTGTAGCCACATGCATACAACTTAAACGAGTGAAGCAAAGACCTCAATCCTCTAGTCTGCAGGCAGGGAAGGAAGTCAACTCATCACCTTGTACACTAAATATGAAATATGATTCTAAAATATGCTATAGGAAGAAAACTTTCCAGCAAGACTTCTGCGCCTGGAGCTGTGTTTTGAAGTGCCATTCCTAAATAGCCCTGTCTACTGTGATTTCCATATTCATATTGTTAGAATGCAAAGCCGAGTACCATCACCCCACCCAAATTATCCTCCATAGTATGCAATTCAAATGAGAAACATACTCTTTTAAGATTTGCAGTTTACAAGATCCTTTCCTACATCAGAGGTGGTTGTGGGGTGATCTGAAGACACCTAAAGGTGGCCCTGTTCACGGAAGTTTTTAATGGTTGATGTTTTATTGTGGTTTTGTTATATTTTGTTGGGAGCCGCCCATAAACTTATTATCACTAGAATGCCCTTGTAGTTTTGATTGACAGGCAGCCACCATTTTCACTTGCCAAGAATGTATGTTGCAAGGGACAAAAGAAAGAATTGGCATCCTTCTCTTCTTGTCATCTTTCTGGAGCAATCTGATTGGCCATTGTCAGGAGACACAGTAGATTCAATGAGAACCATCAATTTAACAAGAATTTTATTGTTCTTATTATGATACTAATGAAATATTTGAAGTCACCTGCACTTGTTTGGGTTTTTGATATAAGTGTCTGATTTATAGGGTTTGTGCCTATAGAGGTTTGTAAAGAAACCTTCAGAGACTGAGGGCGAGGACATAGGATTTTGGATGAAGGGGAACTCACTGGAATGTTCTCACAGCTCTGATATCCTGGCAGCTGCCATTTTCTTTTTAGCTGTCATATTTGAGCACTCCTCTCAATATCCAGCTATAAAGAGATATTTACAGGCCTCTCTTCTGTGGTCTCCTAAGCATTTTAAAACCTAAGCTAAAGACCTTCCCCACAAAAGAAAAATGTAAATTATACAGGCATGAAGTCAAACATTATATTTGTCTCCAGCCTATTGACCACTAGCTTCACTGAATAAAGATGTAACTTTCTACTGTTGCGGAAATGTAAAGGATTCTTCAGCCCCACTTTTGAAAGGGAGGCAGTATGTCACTGTGGTCAGTTTACAGAGTCCTCATTGCTTTGATACCTATCATTGCAATACATTCCATTTGATACAACCAACACTGTGCATCAAAATACAGAAATGGCCAGATCAAGAAAATGTTTAAAATGCAGGCAAGAAACATTTAAATGTATCATGACAAAGGACACAATTGCTTTCGCTGTATTTTTAGCAGGCTCTGAATTTGGTCGTTTCTGTACTCTTGGTTTCCCCCCACCCCCAATACATAGGAATAATTCTTAACTGAGCAAGATCACTGAATCATCTTAGCACAGTCATTACACCCCTAATTTTAATACATAAACAAGACAATGTAGATCTATAGAGATGAGGAAGACACTACGTTTCAAAATAAAAATTATTGTGCCCATAATATACCCTGATATACGTATGAATAATAAAACCAAGGGATTGTCAAAGTGTATATTCCATAGATTTGTATGATAAAAACATCTAAAAAGAACACACCTCTCTAAGGCAAAATAATACTCTATCAAATAAAAACCAAGGGGAAGACAGTACATCTCCTTTTTAAAATTACACAATAAATCTGCAGTGCTTTATGATTTGGTATCTGTCAGGGGTTCAGGGAGAGAGGCACAGATGAGGGAGGAGACTGAGAGCGAGGGGGAAGAATCCAGGAACGAGGAGGAGGAGGATGACAATGACTTGAGGGCTTCCATGAGTCTCTCAAGTGAATCGGAGGATTCCCAAAAGGGGGCGCCCCTGGTCAGGCCAAGGGGAGCCACAGGGGGGACTCGTCAGGAGCAGGGGAGCAGCAGGGAAACCCCGAGTGGGAGTTGGAGATCGGGGCCGGCTTCTCAGCCGGAACGGAGTGAAGAGGGTGGAGTTCCCAGTGTGACAGACGGAGCAGAGCAGGAAGCAGAGAGGGGAAGGAGATCGGGGCAAGACGTCCTGCCGGAAGGGGCGGAGAGTAGTACAGAGAGTAGTATAACTGTCAAGAGGAAGGTCAGGGGTAGCGAACGCGCGCCAAGTTCAAATGTGGAGGCGCGCGGAAATGCGGAGAGCCCGGAGGAGGAGCCTGGTCCCAAAGCACGGAGGAGGGGGGAACAGGCGTCTGGGGACTCAGCGTCAGAGGAAAGCAGGAGGGAAGGAACCCAGGGGGGCAGAAAGACCCTGCGGAAAAGGAAGGACAGGAAGAGGTGGACCAGCACAAGCCTCTTAAACTGGTGTAGAGGCAGGACTGATTCAGAGGGGACTTCAGCGGTCTAAGCGTAACAGACGTGGGGCTGCGCGCCTCGACTGTGGAACAAACAATGTACTTCAATAAAGACTTTTGTAAATAAAATGGACTTGGCGTTGGTCTCTTGTGAGCTGGGACCTGAGGCGGCCCTGACAGTATCAATGTGCTATTCATTCCATAGTAGACATAATTTCTGAATAGCAGGGGAACTGAATTAGAACAGTGGGGAGGGGGCCAAGAATTAATCGCCCGCCCTCTGTTTCAGGACCTCATGATTATTCCTCAGGAACAGTCATGTTTCTGGCCAACTTTATGGTTCTGCACACCCAGGGACTACTTGCCTATGCAAAATGATGATGGAATCATTCCACTGTAACAGAGAATCAGAGGAGAATGAAAAGCTGCCACAAATCATTGTAGGCATGGAAGGTAAAAAAACACCAACACCTCACCAGTCTGGAGACCTAAGTGATGTGAAGAGGACATGGAAGGGTCTGAGCATAGGGATGAGGAACCTCTCAGCCTCCGGATGTTGTTAGACTACAATTCCCATCATCCCTAGCCATTGGACAGGCATACTGGGGCAAGATGGGAGTTGGAGCCTTTAAATTCTCCACTCCTGGATTAGAATAATGTTGTAAGAATGTAGGCACAACTGAATGCTCTTAAAACAAGACTAGTTTTGTTGGACTCCATCTTGAAGAGCTAATAGTTAAACTATGCTGTGGGTTTCCGCCTCCCAGCCTCCCCCCCCCCCGTATCCCTTTGTCCTCCCCACTGAAAACTGAAATGGTGCACCTGCTAAAAAAAGTAATTTGCCATCCAACTAATAAACAGAGGTCCCAGAAACCTAACACCAAAGGACCGCCATGTATACACACACACACACACAAAAACCAAATCTTAGTGTTACTTACCACTGTGAAATTCATTACTTTCAGTATCCATATCGTCATTGCTAAGTTAACAATCATGGTAACCAATAGCAAGAGGACAAAGAAGTATAGGCACCTCTTTCGCCAACCATAAATTCCTACTGGATAAAGCTGAGTGTTTTCTGTTCTGGGCAGATTGTTTTGCTGTGTTGCCAGTATATACTGTTCTCGTGTCATCTATTAAAATAAAAATAAAAAAAATAAAAATATCATTAAGTATGTATCTGAATATTCAATCAAATATACCATTTAAATAGGACTTTGTCTAGAACAATTGTCCCAGGTTTCAACTAATGAACTCCCAAAGGAGTTCTCCCTCTTGTTGGATGGTGTGATTAATTAATTTTCAAGTTTTCACAATCAAATCAAATACAGTAGGAAAATAACACACCTGGTTCCCCCCCCTTTAACCATCAATGTTTACCCCCCTCCCCAGCTTTAGCCATATAATACAGGCATAAATTTTCAGAGAGTTAACATGCATAATGAGAATTAAAGAAGAAACCACACAAAAGAGGATCAAAACTACAGACATATCTGGATTAATATTTCACACCCACCCACATACCCGAAGCACTTTACAAGTGTTCTGCCTTCCGGAAACACTTTCCGCATGGAGCTGTCTGCAAAATATCCCTTCCCCAGTCTTCAGATTTATCATTTCATCAAATGATGGTGATAATCTGCACGGATCAGCTGAGAAGAGGGCCATGTGTCCTGTCTGTGGCATCCACAGCTACTCACTTTGACCACACCCACAACCTAGAGGGTTGGTCAAGGGTGAATGCAGCTGTCAGGCCAAAAACTATATTAATAGACCTATCCAATGTATTTTAAGAGTTTCTTCAACAAGCACTTCTCTTAGAGTCCACATGCCAAGAGAACAAGTTTGCTTTTGTATAAGAAGTAGGGCCTTCTTGGTAGTTGTGCCCAACCTGTGGAATGCCCTCCCTTCAAATGTCAAAGAGATAAATAATGATATAACCTTCTGTAGACATCTGAAGGCAGCCCTGTATTAGGACACTTTTCATATATGATGTTCTGTTGTTGTTGTTGTTGTTGTTGTTGTTGTTGTTGTTGTTGTTGTTGTGTTTTTATATATTATGTTGGAAGCTGCCAAGAGTGGCTGGGGCAACCCAGCCATATGGGTGGAGTATAATCATCATCAACACCATCCTACAATTTTTTATCACCATGGTAAATAATGCAATAGTGCAGGCATCCCCAAACTCAGCCCTCCAGCTGTTTTGGGACTACAACTCCCATGATCCCTAGCTAACAGGACCAGTGGTCAGGGATGATGGGAATTGTAGTCCCAAAACAGCTGGAGGGCCAAGTTTGGGGATGCCTGCAATAGTGCATTATGGCTGCAATCCTGGACACAGTTACTCAGGAGTAAGTCAATAGAGCAGAATGGGATTTGCTTCTGATTAGATATGCATAGGATTTTGCTGCAAGGGCATCATATTTGATTTACATTAATTTTCCCCCATTTGGCAAGCATTTTACAGTGTTGTACCGCTTCCCCGTTCCCACTAGGAGTATCTTTCTCCCTCCCATCATTGGTTGTAATTATACAATACAAATGTGTGTGTGTGTGTCGTATGTATATATCAGAGCCATATTACAAAGCTGAAAGGAGGGAAGCTAAATTAAAAAGACAAAATAAGATGAATAAATGAAATCTTGGATCCATTAAACTCAATAGGAATCTCAGTGCCTACTTCAGCTCAGACTTCGTTTTACCATATATAATGTTAATGAAAACTTCTGCGTTGCCTTCGAGTGCAAAATAAATGGTTTCCAAAACATCATTTTGCATGAAGAAGTGAAAAACAAGGGAAGAAGTATGTATGAATACGGATGAATTAAATACTCAAGTACTTGCTATACATTTGGCTGGTGTTCAAACACCGCGAAAAACCCTAGTCTGTGTAGATAATCAAGTTCACCTCAATGCACTCTTCTTCTCCCTCCTGCATTGCTCCCATGTGACGGATTACAATACCACCAACACTCCCTTTTCCCAAGACAGCATAATAAGAGCCCTGCCAGATCAGACCAAATCCCCTTTTAACTAACATCCTGTGCTCACTGTAGCCAACCTGATGTGCTGCTGATAAGCTCAGCAGCGGGACCTGAATGCAACACAGTGTTCCCCCAGCCGCAGAAACATAGGCCACTGCCTCACACTGAGTAAGACCATTCGCTCCTCTGTCTGTTGCAGAGCTGGTTCTTTGCCTCACCTCACAGAAGACACGGCTATAAGCTTAAACAGGATCTTTTTCTTAACAACGTCAGTCATGGCTTGTTAAAGCAGAAGCAAGCAGGAAAGATGAAAGAGAAACCAAAACATGGGTAGTACCAGAGATGAGGCAAATGCTCCCCCAAACAAGCAGCTCATCCCCTTGTCCCCTCCATTGCTAGACTCCTGCCATTAACATATATTGCATACCCTCCAACATTTCTCTTATGAAAATAGGGATGTCCGATTTAATAATAATAATAATAATAATAATAATAATAATAATAATAATACCCCACCCATAGGATCCATGGGCGACATTGGGTCATCTCTCTAAGGTAGTCTATTTAAAAGTTTTTATGTGTTTATATGCCTATCGCACTTTAAAACTTAAAATCCATTGTTGTATATTGTTTTAAATGTTTGTTTTGCTATTGGGATTGTAGTTCCATTTGTGTTTCTCAAGCTGGTCTCTGACCGTAATAAATTTCATGTACCCCACCCATTTGACTTGGTTGCCCCAGCCACTCTGGGCAGCTTCCAACATATAAAAACATAATAAAACATTAAACTTTTTTTTAAAAAAAACTTTCCTATACTGGGCAGCCTACAGGTGTCTTCTAAAGGCTGTATAGTTACTTATCTCCTTGGGTCAGGGGTCTCATAACTCCATTGCCTCCAATATTTCTCTGATGAAAATGGGGATGTCCTAAGGAATAGCAGGACATTACAGGATCATAGGGACGTGGGTGCCGCTGTGGGTTAAACCACAGAGCCTAGGACTTGCCGATCAGAAGGTCGGCAGTTCGAATCCCCGTGACAGGGTGAGCTCCTGTTGCTTGGTCCCTGCTCCTGCCAACCTAGCAGTTCGAAAGCACGTCAAAGTGCAAGTAGATAAATAGGTACCACTCCAGTGGGAAGGCAAACGGCGTTTCTGTGCGCTGCTCTGATTCGCCAGAAGCAGCTTAGTCATGCTGGCCACATGACCCGGAAGCTGTACGCCGGCTCCCTCAGCCAATAAAACGAGATGAGTGCTGCAACCCCAGAGTCGGCCACGACTGGACCTAATGGTCAGGGGTCCCTTTACCTTTACAGGATCAAAACAGAAGAAACCAGGACAGCGTCTGTAAATCCAGGACTGTCCCTGGAAAATAGGGACACTTGGGGGGTCTGATATTGCTATTTTTTTCTTTCAGACATATTAACAGCTGGGAGGGACGCAACTCGCTGGACGTTAGCTTCCATCTTTGCCAACTACCGCCTCCAGTTCCTGCAACTGATCGCAATGCCATTTCTTGCATAAAGGGGCCTCTTGTGAATAAAATGGGCATCCTGGCCCCATCTCAGATGTCCAAGCTGCATTTCTTCCCGAATAGGGCCAGAGCCTTTCATTCCTCACTTAGCCTGGGATGCAAGGCCTTAGCTAGGCTCTCTAACATTTACATTGCTCAGAGCTGGCTCTAAATAAAGGTTAATAGTTGAAGCAACTGGGACCAGAAGCAAAGAAACGATGGACTCAGCTACTGGTCCTTTCACTCTCCTCCAGACTCAGGAGGGGGAAAGCAAATGACGCAGATTAAATCTCCAGGGGAAAATAGTTCACTGTTCTCAATTAAAACAATTCTAGTCTTCATTTCAAGCTAGTCTCAATATATGGTAATTTAGAAAGTTAATAACTGAGAATGTCAGAGCACATGTATTCACTAGATTGCTAATCTTCTGGTATTTAGCAAAAATTGCTTTAATGATTTCTGGATTAACTTTTACGGTATCCCTTCATTTCCACATCCTTTTATTCTAACAAAAATTTATGATCTGTTCAGTATGCACACCTGCATTTTTTCCTCGTACAAAAATGGTTCAATATTAATGACCGGCAAAAATGAAATGAAAGACTTCTGTTGTTTTAGAGCCATTTTCCTCATTAACAAGACACGATACAATTAATGTTTTCGACCTTTCAATGTAAGAAACGATGTCTCAAATTTAAGGAACAAACCAATAAGCATATGCTCTCTCTCTCCAAAGTGCTAACACATGCTGTTTATGTATCAAACATTTGCCGAATTTTCAAACATGTCCACCCAAACAGGAAATGTTATCCTTTCTGCAACAAGCAAGATGTATTCAATTACTGTATCGGCTAAAAGGCAATTGGGGCAGAGAAAGGAGCCGTGGTGGGAATGGAATTTTCTTTTAGCAATGACGCTTGGAGCCCACTGAAGCAGGTAAGGCAGAAGTAGAGGGACCAAAAGTAGGCGGAGCCAATGTCCAGGGGAGCCACCACCTGACTAGCTGCGAGTTATACACCTGCAGGTGGGGTCTGGCTTGAGGAAAGGTTGAGGGTGGTGGGGCAGTCAGTGCCCCATTCATCCCAATGGACCAGCTCCTGCTGCCTTTGAGAGATTGCCATGAAACAATTAGGAAAATGCTAGCTGCGATGAGGCTGACATACAAAGCCCTTTCTCAAGAGAATATACAGTGGTACCTCGGGTTACATACGCTTCAGGTTACATACGCTTCAAGTTACAGACTCCGCTAACCCAGAAATAGTGCTTCAGGTTAAGAACTTTGCTTCAGGATGAGAACAGAAATCGTGCTCTGGCGACGCAGCAGCAGCAGGAGGCCCCATTAGCTAAAGTGGTGCTTCAGGTTAAGAACAGTTTCAGGTTAAGTACGGGCCTCCAGAACGAATTAAGTACTTAACCTGAGGTACCACTGTAAAGGAAGGGCAGAGTGAATACTGCATTACTTCAGGGGAAATTGCTTTGCAATAATATTCATATTATGCAACTGCACACAAACCGAAAATTTTCAATTGAACAATGACAGATTTTCATGAGAGAAAGAAAGAGGAAAAAAAAGAGAGAGAAAGAGATTGTTGCAGAAAAAGTGTTCTCCCTGACAGAGAGCACGTGTTGCGGTGGCGGCC